AATTACTTTATGATCCTTTGGGTTGAAAGATGCTATGTAAAATTTATTATAGGAAATGGATATCATAAACAAAACAGTCTTAGACATCGTAAAGATGTTGAGCGTTGCTTTTTTCTCTATAAACACCTGTTCAAGTGTGTGATGACAGCTGGTAATATTTTTTTTTTCAAGATTCCTTGTGCAGCTGTGCTTACATTCTTCAAGGATAAAACAGCCTATTTACAGCTTTTATTACATCTATAAGAAATTACTCTCCATGCTGTTTTGTATAGTGCCAATCAGAAACATGTCCATTGCAAAACTCTTATATGAAAGTGATACAGGTCAATAGAATGTGAGAACCAATTTAACATCATTGCCTTCATCTGTTGTAAATGATACACAACAACTTGTATAATCTGTGTGATTGTTAACTTTCCATATGCTGTTTTAATTTCTAAACAGCATATTGTGATAATGCTATCTAAGTATTCAACTGATGTAAAGTCAGTGCTAAGGTTTGCTAAGACTGATTTATGCAATATTACTATAGAAAATGCAGAAGAATTGTGTTATATTTAAGATACACCCATTGAAAATAATTTAAAGTAAAATATCCCAAAGAAGAAAAAGTCTGTGCTATCATGTGTCAAGACTAATAATATTTACTTCCAAAGGATTAATCTATAGTACTGCAAGTTTTCAACAGAAATTCTATAAACAACCAAAACTTGGTTTACCATTGGGCAAGAGAGCTAGATTTCACAGAAGAAAGAAAGGGCCTGATTCTCCACTTGCTTCCTCCTTCTGTAATCATTTACACCAGTGTAAAGTGGGTATAAAACACTACCAGTCTGATTTGATAGTGTTTTTATATGCACTTTGCACTTATTTTGCATGGCAATATCCCCAGAGGTGCAAAGAAATAGAGACTCGGACCTTAAGCCCTTATTATAATGGATGAATAGTAAGTGCAGAATCAGCAAACCAGACCATATTTTTTCCGTGCTGTTAAGATTGATACAGAAATCTTATACTGAGAGCTTCATTCTGACCACAGATCTGTGCTTCATCTCTCTTAAAATTTAGAATAGCATGTACCACTATGGGCTTGTCAACAATAGAAAGTTTAGCTGCTTTAACTATATCTGTATAGTTTAAGTGGTAAAACCCCGCTACTGTGGACACAATTATACTGGCATAAAAGTACTTATACTGGTATACGGCATCCTTATACAACTATAATTGTGTCCACACCAGGGGTAGGTAAAAATCACGCCCCTAACTGACATAGTTGTACCAGTAAACTTATAAGTGTGGACAAGTCCTGTGCTAGGGAGCAGCCTCCACACTAGTAACCCGAGAAGCCAGTGTGAAGTTTGATTCTATCAGTAATGTGGGAACAGGCCCTACATTGTTCTTATTCTCCCACCCCAAAGAGGTGTATCTCCAGATCCATATGTCTTCCATGTTTGTGATGGCAGATCTTCCAAAGACAAAAGGATTGACTAAAACAGTGGTTTTTAACCAGGGGTACATGAACCTCGGGGGGTACACAGAGATCTTCTGGGGGGTACATCACTTCCTAGATATTTGACTAGTTTTACAAGAGGCTACATAAAAAGCACTAGCAAAGTCAGTACAAACTAACATTTCATATAGACAATGACTTGTTTATACTGCTGTATATACCTATACACAGAAATGTATGTACACTATTTATATTCCAATTGGTTTATTTTATAATTATATGGTAAAATGAGAAAGTAAGCAATTTTTCATTAATATTGTGCTGTGACACTTGTATTTTTATGTCTGATTTTGTAAGCAAGTAGTTTTTAAGTGAAGTGAAACTTGGGGATATGCAAGACAAATCAGACTCCTGAAAGGGGTACAGTAGTCTGGAAAGGTGAGAGCCACGGGACTAAAAGATTTAGCCAAAAATATAAATTGCTCCCAAGCTAATGGCTGGATACATTTGTTTAGTAAATACTGGGCTTTTTACATGCCAAAAGTGGTAAATGAGTGAATGGATTTGTACAGGTAATGACTGAATCCAGCTCGATGCTGAAAAACACATCGATATGGTGATATTTCCCAAACACCATTCCCTTATAGAATCAAACTGAGACATCACTCACTGTAAATTGTGCAGATGTGACCGTCCCTCTCCATTCATATAGGATGAATGAAATAGTTATGTTGACATTTGTATTATTATCATCAGTTATCCTTATTGGCATATTTTATGCCTAATTCAGTGATGCAGAGGACAGGATTTTAATATTTGGATGGGACTCAAGCAAAACTTGGAAGTGGGTCCTCCACCCCACTGCAAATCCATCTAATCCCTTGTAACTATCTGAATGGAAAAAAGTCCATAGTTTCAACTCAACAAAAATATATTAATCACTGAACACAACACCCCAGTTCCTCAAGCAAACCTCCACTCAACACCCACCCACCCATCTGTTCCCCCAATACAGACCCCAAAGCAGCTCCGTTAATTCCACCTGGTAAAACAAATCCAGCAATTCTGTCCCACCACACAATCCAACCCAACCCAACCCATCCATCTATTCCCTTCCTCTCAGCACACATACATAGGCCCCAGATCTATCAGCTGCTTCCTCTGCTCCTCTTCTCAGCTCACAATCCTGCTGATTCTGTGACTTTTCTCATCCACACACACTCACATACCCGTTTTTGCATGTATACTCATACCTAGCCATGCATAGGGCTGTCCGGAAAACAATTATTTCATTTTGTGACAACGTATGAGGTTTTAAAATTTGTTTTTATTGTGGCTTGTACCCTGGCCTCATTCAGTGCACAGGATGGACAGTGGTCGATGAAGGAGCAGCTATTCCATAATTTGTGTTTTCCTCATTGTTCAATGTGTGGCCCCAGGCCTTATTACTGCACACTATTCAAACCTTGCTCTGCATACAGAACTGTGAATTTTTTCATGGGCTTATCTGTGGTGCTCATCACCAAACATTAATTAATTAATTTATCTTCACAATGCCCCTGTGAGGTAAGGGAACATTATTATCTCCATTATCAAACACTTTAATTTGAAAGCACAGCTATGCTGACTTCAGTTGCAATTGCAAGTTGTCAACCTCAGGGACTCAAATTGGACACCATAAAATAAAACCCAAACAGTGTCCATGTGTGAATAGTTTGATGTAAGTGACTTGCCAAGCATCACATGGAAACTCTGTGGCACGTGCAAGGATAGTATCCAGTTCCCCAGGGCAGATTCAACTTCCTTAACCAAGAGACCATCCTTTCTCTTCCTGCTGCCCTCTGCCACATTTGCTATACACCATCCAACTTCTGTAGCAAATGAAGCAGGGTTCCTACAAGCAACACTATGCAGGCTTGATTCATCCCCATAACATAGTCCATCCTGTGCACTGGATGAGGTAGGGGTCCTGTGGAAAAAAATATGCTCCTGTAATTAATATCATAGTGCATATACAGAAGAGGGATCAGTTAAGTTTTCACAGGAAACATTAAATCTGGCATGTCCTAACTTTTGAGTGCTCCACTTTCAAGATATATAGATGCATACATATTTATGCATATCAATCTATAACATGCATAATGAGCCAAATTCCACTCTCAGATTCTATGGTGATAATGAGAGAGAAAAAGGGACACTTCAGAAATGAGTGGTGAAATCCTGGCCTCATTAATTAAATGTGAGTTTTTCTGAGGCCAAGATTTCACCTAAGATTTTGATTTAGTTGCTGTTGACCAGGAGCCAGATTTTCAGAGATTTCAGTTCAGCCTCAAATTTTGCATTGAATATAATTTCTAAACACTTGCATGTGCACTTTTAAAACTCTCTCAATTGCATATTCAGGTGAGAGATTCTCTCTCTCTGGAGACTGGAGCATGCAAGTCATAGAAACCACATAAAACACATTTAGCCCCAGAAGCACATCTACTAGTTAAAAAATTCTGCTTCAAACAAAATCCTTTGGTAACAGAGAGAACACTAGCATGTGCTGGGAAAGCAGTTTTCTCTTGATGTTTTCCTAACCACAGGCCAGCTGCTCCCCTCCAAGGTTCAGTGCACAGAGTAGCGAAAAACAAAAAATCTGCACAGAAAAGGCCTAAAACTCAAAGAAGGGCAACTAAGACTATGCTGCTCCCTTGTCCCTGAGCCTATGGAAGGCCTTTTTTTTTTTTTTTATGAACACCACATGGTTGGGGCTCTGTCAATATCAGAGGATGTGTCATCTTGAGGGAATGAGGCACAGCTAGCAAGCAGCTGCACATGGCAGCAAAGAATTCAAGGGTGAAGAGGTTAATGATCTGACATTATTGAAGTCTGCAATTATATGATATGTCTGCTACACTGAAGACTGATCTTTCTTTTAAAAAATACACTGAAAACATTTGAGTGGGTTTTTTAAACTGATAGATGTGTAAACAAGACTATGCCATCGTAAGATGAATTTTGCCGTTTAATGGTAATTTTTTAAAAAAAAACCACAGTAGTTAAAGCTAGAGTGGCTGGTTTGTTTAGATTTTTAGATTTCTTTTAGATTTTTTTCCCCAATTTTTTCATGAGAAAAAATAGTAAAGACTAAAATGTGGGGAGAGAGGAAGAGGAAGTGCTTTTGATATAAACATTAAGTGAAATCAATTCTTGCTGTTCTGAAATCAGTAAAGTTACAGTAAAGATGAATTTGCTCATTATCTTTTAAGTATTCTATTTGTTTTTTCTGGGTGTCTAGGCACAAGCAGTAAATTTATACTATTGTTAAAGAAGGATCTGCTTTAAGTTCCTGAGCCTAAGCTGTTTACTAATAAGGTTCACCTGCTGGAAAAAGACTTAGATGACTTTTTACCCAGAGAATTATCCAATCTCATCTACAATAAATCCTTTAACAAACAATTGTTGTAGTTTCAATATTTTACATAAAGATATGTTTTGGATTTAATACCAGAGATCATTTTATAATGAATTACAGCAAGTTGTTTTTATTTTGTATTTTCAACAGGATTATTTTACAGATGCAAACAGAGCATTAAAGAGAGATTCTCAACAGGATTACCATCTTGAGTATGCCATGGAAAATAGTACACATACAATATTGGCTTTTAGCAGAGAGCTACACACTTGTGACACAAATGATAAGAGTATAACGGTAAGGTGTTCTGCTTTTATATAGACAGATACATATAGATCAAGTACATAAAAATGTACCATGATGTTGAAGCCAGTTATCAAAAACTCCTCAGATTAAAAAAAGAGAAAGAACTACAGAAATTCAACTACCAAATGTGTTTATCCAGCTATATGCACAAACTTTCCAAAAATTCCATTTTAGGGCTTAGATTAATCATGTAAAATTTCAATATTTGGATGTATTTTAGTAGGCAAGGGCAAGTAAAGTCAAATTCCAACTTCTTTCCCTCCCCTTCTGTTTCTCAGACCTTTCTCAAATTTCTTTCATACTGAGTCTTACATGCTTGACCTCAGTACAAAAAGCTGAGTTTCTGGAAAATTTGTGCATATAGCAGGAAAAACATACTTTATATTTTAATTTCTGTATTTTCTCTTTTTTTAAGCAGAGCAGTTTTTTAAAATATGTTTACTGTCCATGTTAAGTTCTTTTATTTACTGCATAGTGGCGGCGATAAACTATTTATTTCTTTTTATGCACTTTTAAAATATGTACTCACTGACAATAGCATTAAAGATGACTGAACAAGCAGAAAGACTTGCATCAAGTCATTCATTTTGATATGTTAATCTTCTAACTTTAGAAAATTCGCTATGATAGGAAATGTTTTTTTTAATCAGTGTTGTAGAGTTTAAGGCCAGAAGGGACCATGGGATCATCTAGTCTGACCTTATATATCACAGACCACTAAACACCACCCAATCATCCCCACACTGAGCCCAACAGAATTAGAACAAAGTATTATAGCCTTCAGGACACTAAACTATTGTGTGCCACAAGCAGATAACAGGAGGGACCGAGATGCGTTGTCTGGGTATACTGAAAGAAGGACAGGAGACACTTGATATGGATTTTAATCAGGCTGCAACTTTATTATATAGATGTCTGGGACTACCTGGCAGATAAAGTGTACAGTGCAGGCAAATCCATGTTTATTAAAATCATTACCTGGGGCTTCCACCAGCCCCCCTTCATTTTCCATCCAGGGCCCCCGAACCAACCCATGGCTTGGACCTTACCATCCACCCCTAATAGGAGGGTTAAGGTGGCTATGAGAAGGGGGGGAGGGGTTTGGCTCCCTGCTGTACCAATCATAGGAGTCCTCCAACCACCCTCCCCTGTTCTGTTCCTTTGTCCAGCACCTCCTTTTAAGACCTTTACCAGGCCATTTATCTGGTCATTGGATGCTTTCCCTATGGAGTACCTGCACTGGACGTCTGTCCCACACTTACAAAATAAATTGCAACATATAGCCTACCCCCTTTTCTTCTTACAGAAAAGGTCATCCCTGACGCCTGCTGTGGGGAAGGCGAAAAAACCTGACTCCACCGAAGCCAATCTGGTGGTGCGGGAAAAATTCCTTCACAGCCCCACTTAAAAAGGAGCGACTAGCACAATTCCCACAGCAGGTCCTAACCCACCTGATATTTGCCTCCACTGGGGGGGCGGGAGGGGGAGCGTGGCTGGGTGCTGCCTTGCCTGCTGCGTGGAACAAAGGGGCTTCCCACACCGAGGGCTTGCACCTTTATGGCCTTCAGACCTTACATTCCTGAGGGGTGAGTCAGCTCCGCAAAGCTGACCACCATTCACATTTTGCAGCAGTTTCTGACCTCACTCCCCCTCCCCACCCCCGGCCATAGAGCACAGCTGCCCTTCTTCGGCAATAGAGTGACCAGACAGCAAGTGTGAAAAATCGGGATGGGGGTGGGAGGTAATAGGAGCCTATATAAGAAAAAGACCCAAAAATCGGGACTGTCCCTATAAAATCAGGACACTTGGTCACCCTATTCGGCAAGCCCAGCCAACGTTTGCCCCGCTTTAAGTGTGGTGCAGTCATTCTCATTCTAGCAGCTGATCATAGGAGAAGCACTGGTAACCCCTCTAAAAAAAGACTTGCCTTATTTGCTATTTAAGGATCTATTCTGCTTCCTATGGCTGTGCATAAAACTGACTAACATTCGTGGGAAAGACACACATACCTTGATGACACACAGTTCTCAGTGGCAGAATAAACCTCCAGCTGAGACCAGCTGAGCCCTGCAAAGAGATCTCTGTAAAACATGGTTCGAGGATAATCACTGTAGAAAGATGAGGGTGGATTATAAAAACAGGGAAAGAGTGGCTCCAGCGGAGCAATGACAAGTCACTACAGCTCTGGATCTGCCTTGGGAATGTTGTGAACTAAACTGTGAGGAAGGACTTCTTCCTATACCTAATCAGAAAAGATTTTGTTTTCAAGGAGAGCACAGTAAGGGTGATATGGGCCTATCACCACAAAGACATGGGAGAAGCAGGTCAAAATTACCATGGATCAAATCGCGGCTCAAAGAGTCTACGTTTACTGAACCCTGAGAAAAAGAATGTTATATCTGCCTCTTTGGCATACTTTGACTTGACAAACCAAGACGTAAGTTACTTTGGGTTTTGTTTTTATTTGGAGATAGGGTAGAGTGGGGGCAAGAGGTGAGGACTGAAGAAACATGAAAAAAATTTGACTTTTATATTAGTGTTTTCTTTCCCTTTTTATTAAGACAGGTACCTATACCAGACAAAGACACAACATATTGGTGCCAAATGTTTAAGATACCTATACATCATGAAAAGCATCATGTGATAAAGGTATGTGACTTAGTCTGAAGAGTCCAATTTATACCCTCATGTTTAGAGATGTCCAGAGGACAGCAATTCTGTTTCACAGCAACTTTCAAGGTTTTCAAATTTGTTTTTGTTCTGCATGGAGACAAAAAACAAACAAAGAAGATCTTTCAAATGTTTTTGTGAAACAAGGAGCGGGAGAGGGATAGCTCCATGGTTTGAGCATTGGCCTGCTAAACCCAGGGTTATAAGTTCAATCCTTGAGGGGGCCATTTAGGGATCTGGGGCAAAAATCCATCTGGGGAATGGTCATGCATTGAGCAGGGGGTTGGACTAGGTGACCTCATGAGGCCCCTTCCAACTCTGATATTCCATGATTCATGGGGTGTGTGTGTGTATGAGAAAATGGGTAAAGAAAACAAAAAAACCACAGGCTTTTTTACAAAGCTCAGAGCAAATTCAAACTGGTTTCAAAACTGCAGCCAGTTAGCATTATTCCTTATATTACATATATTTTTAGCCTCTGTAACTTCTGGTTCAGGATGGACCCAGAAGCACAAAAACACTGAGAAAGATGGTGCTTACACTCTTCCTCACAAAAGAGCCCATTCTCACAATAATTCTGTCCCACTTTAGCAGACCAAGTGAAGTAGATAGTTCAAATAAATATCCATACATTTGGGTGCTTATCTGAATCAACACACATTTTTAGATTCAATCCTTATTAATTTAAGGTGTGTAATATATAATCAAAATTATTGTACCAGTGTGAATAGATGTTAAAAGAACAAAGTAAGAATTATTTGAGATAAATTTTAGTCTTGGGGAATCAAAATTAGATGGTGCTAGTTAAAAGGAGCATGATCCTGCAGTTAGCAGTCCTTGACTTGAGTGGTACTATACAATTATTATGTATGAATAAGGGTTGCAGGATCAAGCACAAGATTTTAATTTTTCCTAAAACCCATTGATGTTTCAAGTAAAAACATGAAGATGTTACTACTATTGTTGGGCTTCTCTGTTATGTTCATGCATCTCCAATAACTTTGATGAGATTGCAAGAGTCTAAAAACAAAAGGTACGTCTACACTGCAAAAAACACCCCCAGCAGAGAATCTCGAGCCCAAGTCAGTTGACTCAGGCTCTGGGGCTTGCGCTACAGGGCTAAAAATAACAGTGTAGACATTCCTGCTTTGGCTGGAGCCCAGGCTCTGACACCCAGCGACAGGGGTGGATCTCAGAGTGTAGGCTCCAGCCCAAGGCAGAATGTCTACACTTCCATTTTTAGCTTGGTAACGCAATCCCAAGTAAGTTGACCTGGGTTCAGAGACTTGCTGCTGTTGGGTTCTTTTACAGTGTAGACATACGCTAAGAGATCTTGACCCATTATCTCTAATGTGTATATGAGACATGGTTATTCTGTGGTACCATGGGTTTAATCAATTTTCCAGTGTTGTATTACTGATAAATTGTTAGGTCCAAATGATGCCCCAGTTACTTACATGTAAACCCCATTGAAGTCAGTGGTAACCAGTCATACAAGGGTATATGTAAAACAGAATTTGGCCTACAATATTAATGTGTGAAAACTCTTTGCTATCTGTTTTCAAAAGATATAGGCTCAGAATATTAAGCACCTATGCATGTCTTTCAATGCTGATCTTAATAGCAACTGTACACATGTATGCTTCCCTGAAAAGACTCTGTGTAACTTGCCATAAGATGCTTTGCATGACAGCTACTATAGGTGTACCATATGAATGTAATATGTGGCCAGATGAAGTTTGAGAACTTAAGCTGAAATTTACTTATTGATTTTTTTTTCCCCACAGAAGTGTGGTATTTCATATTCTTTACTTATGCTGTGATTTATAATGAATATTAGAATCTTATAAACTTTGAAAGTCTCCTGTTTGATATTTTATTATAAATAGCTGAGAATTTTAATATTATTTTCAATGCTTTCTTCCCCAAGTCAGAAAAACAATGTTGTAATTTAAATGGTGTAGTACTCACTGACAGCTAAACTGATTACAGAGAGAAGGAGAGAAAAGGAATTGTGAAAACCCTGTTTTAGCATTTCTTTCTAAAGGGTAGAACTTGAATTTTCAGATATGTCACACAGCTATATAGCTGACTTATGCAGGCTTGTTGTGGATTTATACAGATGTATTCTTGCAAACACATTGTACATTTCCAAATGCTTATTGATTACACAATGGAATGGGATTATGGATCTCCAAAAAGGACATGGGCCATGCAAACAAAGATAGAAATGGACAAAGGACAAGCCAAATGCATTATCTGCTTTCAACAAACTGATTGGGCTATTTGGATACATAAGTAGATGTTGTTTCATGGTTTCTTCTGTTGTATACATTCAACACAAATGAGGCATCCCACTTTTAGAGAGAGAAAAAGCAGTGATTTAGACAAAACGGCCAAAATTTGTCCCTGGTATAATTCTAATGCATCCATAAGGATACAGCTGCACTGAATTTGGCCCATTTCTAGTCTTGTGTAGGCCTTGATGCAGCAAAACATTTAAGCCATGTGCATAACTTTAAATACATAAGCAGTCTCATCAACTTCAGTAGGACTAAACAATTAGTTATGCACAAATGCTTAAGTACTGTAGTGGTTTAAGCCCTTAAGCTGGTCCAACTCCAAATGAAGTAGAATTTGGTTCATATAGCACACCTTTTCTCTCTCTCTTTCATTTCTTTTTGTTAATTATTATTATCCTCTGACTAATTTATTTTCAGATATATTAATTTTCATTGTAAAGTACAATATTTTCTCTAGACGAGATCTTAGGGAAATAGAGAGAAAAGTAAAGCTAGACAGTGAAGAAGGAGGTGAAGAAACGGAAGTGATGATTTTTGTAAAAAAAACTGTGAAACCTGGGGTGTGGTTCTAGTCACCCACAGTAGGAGACATCAGTTCCCACACATAGAGCTGTCCAACTCTGCTGGTGGGGAGCAGGCTCCACCTTTCTAAAAGATGCAGTGTTCATTCTCCCTGCATTAGGTGCTGTTTTGGAGACTTGCGTGTTAAGGAAGTTAGGGCCCAATCCTACAAACCTTTACTCATCCAAGTAGTCCATTGAAGCCAGTGGGACTGTTTGCCTGGGTAAGGTTTTGCAGGATTGGCCCATTATTCCTACCACAAGGTAGGGTAATGATATGACATATGTTAGTAAACTAACAGTTCTTTCTATTCGTTCAGGATTTCACACACAATGTATTATAATCAGTGTAAAATGCCACCTGCACTATTTTCATTATCTGGTACCAGGCCATATGTAGGAAAAAAACCCATAACATTCACTTTGTTTTCTGTGGGCCAGATCCTCAGCTGGTGTAAATCAGCATTTCTCCATTGCCTCTTTATCCTAGAACAAGATGCACCAGGTGACAGGTAAATTACGTGAGAGACAAGGTTGGTGAGGTAAATATCTTTTATTGGACCATCTTCTGTTGGTGAGAAAGACAAGCTTTCGAGCTACACAGAACATTTCTTCAGGTCTGGGAAAGGAACGCCGAGTGTCACAGCTAAATGCAAGGTGGAACAGATTTAGCATAAGTAGCTAGCACATATCTTAAGGGACCATTCAAGGTAGAGTGACCTGTTAACACCTCTGCAGTCATAGGACAAAAAGAGGGAGTTAGTGGGTTACGGATTATTGTAATAAGCCATAAATCCAGTTTCAGTCCTTGATTTTTAGTGTCTAGCAGAGTTATGAATTTAAGCTCCCAGGAATTGACATGGCTACAACTGCACTGCATACAACAGGTAAATTATGTAGCAGATAAGACTACTTCTGTATTCAACCCATAGCTACAATGAGGACAGGAGCAAGTAACTATGCCTTACGCCATATCCACTAACAGAGAACAGAGCATAAGTACAATAATGGGACACTGAATCAGGGTTATGATTTCTCATTTTAATTTTCCTTTGTGTTATATTTCTTGAAACTTCAAGTTCCTTGGAATAGGGACATATATTTGTGCAGGCTCTACTAAACCCTCCTGTTTGAGGGCTGTAGGAGCTACTGCAATACAAATAATGTATTATTATTATATTATCACTTTATCTGTCATAAATACAAAGTATACTTTCAACAACATAGGGAAGAAACTATTTGAACCAGTCAGTACCAGGCACTGAACTGTTTTTGTATACAGCTTCAAACAGTAGAACAGTATCTCCTCCTCTTGTTTCACTAAACTTCTAAGGGTTTGTTCAGCCTTCCTCTACACCCTCTTAATCCCATTATGAACTTTCTGTCTGCAGAACTAAACATCAGTGCGAGTGTGCGACAGGCCAATTTTAAAAATAGCAATAGGTAGAACTGAAAAAGGGGACATGTTGGGGATAGAGTATGTCAGGCATCATCTAATCCACACGCTGGACCTGCAAGATGGCTGTACAGTAGCTCTGAAACGCCAAGATGAAACTGGCTTTGTATATCGGAGCAGTGTACATCACCTCCTGCGTGCAAAAACCTCCCACAGCTAGATGTGCACTTGCCTGTCTTGCTGCTTGCAGCTCCAGGATGTGGCCTATGCTTGGGGCTTGCTACCATGCAGTACGTTTTTATTTTTCCTATACATAGAAATTAGCCCTGAGTTTTTTCAAATGTAGGAGCTCAGGCTCTGTGTTGTATTTGTTACTCAAGACTTCCTAAAATATAAGTTTAAGTCTATTGATTATTCAGATTCTTGCAGTGCTCTATACAATTATTAACTAGCCATTCTTGAAAATGAAAGTTTGTCTCACTTCTTTTTCTAAACGTGCTTTTATTGAAATGAGTATACAAAATGTATCATATGCATAAGGCAAAGTCCTCTGCACCACATAAGCTTCTCACAGGGAATGACTGGAGGGTTTGCTGACAGGGTAGTCACACAGGGGTGCCTATGCACTCCTAACCCCCATGAAAATGTCTCTGCATCGATCTTGCATAAGCCACATTGAGCATGGATTTTGTGTGAATGGATAATTGGTATAGAGGGGCC